CTTTACAGATTTAGTTCAGGAAAATTACTAAACAAATTGTAACAACTTATTACAAGCAGCAATCCTGGGGAGTGGGGAGAATCTGCTTTCTAGGGTTGCTATTTTTTTTATTTGTGTGTGTGTGTGTGTGTGTGTGTATATATATTTTTTTTTTTTTTTTTTTTTGAGACATTCTCACTCTGTCGCCTCAGCTGGAGTGCAGTGGCATGATCTTGGCTCACTACAACCTCTGCCTCCCAGGTTCAAGTGATTCTCGTGCCTCAGCCTCCGAAGTAGCTGGGATTACAGGCGCCTTATATTATTTTTTAAATTAATTATTACTCTTTTTTTTTTTTTTTGAGACAGAGTCTTGCTCTGTCACCCAAGCTGGAGTGCAGTGGCATGATCATGACTTGGTGCAGCCTCAACCTCCTGGGCTCAAGCAATCCTCCTGCCTCAGTCCCCTGAGTAGCTAGAACTACAAGCACATGCCACCATGCTGAGCTAATGTTTGTATTTTTTGTGGAGACAGGATTTCACCATGTTACTCAGGCTAACATTATTTTAAATGCCCAGTTTTGCAACAAAAAGATTGCAAGACATACAAAGCAATAAAACATGGCTCACACACTGGAATAAAAATGTTTCAGTGGAAACTGTTTTCAATGGAAACTATTCCTGAGAAAGCCCACGTGTTGGACTTACTAGACAAAGACACTTCAAATATGTTCAAAGAGAAATGAAGAACAAGAAAATAAAAACCAAAAATTGGTTCTTTTTTTTTTTTTTCAGGTGGATTCTTGCTCTGTCACCAGGCTGGTGTGCAGTGGCATGATCTCAGCTCACTGCAACCTCTGCCTCCTGGGTTCAAGCAATTCTCCTGCCTCAGCCTCCTGAGTAGCTAAGACTACAGGCACGCACCACCATGCCCAGCTTTTTTTTGGTGTTTTTAGTAGAGACGAGGTTTCACCATGTTGGCCAGGGTGGTCTCGATGTCTTGACTTCGTGATTTGCCCGCCTCACCTCCCAAAGTGCTGGGATTACAGGTGTGAGCCACTGCGCACGGTGTTTTTTTTTTTTTTGAAA